ACAGAATCTATCCAACTTCCTTATTCCACTTTTCCAGCTCTGATTGGATTTGTATCTATAATAAATCAAAAAGAGGTCAACTAAGAACAAAACTAACATCATTAGAATAAAATCACCTTATAAACTGGAATGCATGGTGCTAATGTTATTACTTTTCATTCTGATAAAATCACCTTATAAACTGGAATGCATCGTGGTAATGTTATTACTTTTATCCTTTTTTTTTTAGTTTGTACTGCACATCACAATTTTAATTTTTTTTTAACTTTTATTTTAAGTTCATGGTTCATGTGCAAGTTTGTTATATAGATAAATTTGTGTGATGTGGGTTTGTTGTACAGATTATTTTGTCACCCAGGTACTAAGCCTAGTACTCATTAATTATTTTTCCTGATCCTTTCCATCCTTCTAGCCTCCACCCTCTGATAGGTCCCAGTGTGTGTTGTTTCCCTCTATGACTTAAACAAAATGACAAAAAAAGAGCAAGCAACCACATTTAAAAGTGGGCAAAGAACATGAACACTTTCCTAAAGAAGATATACATGTGGCCAACAAGCATATGAAAACAAGCTCAATATCAATAATTAGAGAAATGCAAATCAAAACCACAATGAGATACCATCTCACACCAGTCAGAATGGATAATATTAAAAAACCAAAAAAAAACAATAGATGCTGTCAATGTTGCAGAGAAAAAGGAACATGTATACATGGTTGGTGGGAATGTAATATAAATTCAACCGCTGTGGAAGACAGTGTGGCAATTCCTCAAAATCTAAAGACGGAAATACCATTCAACCCAATAATCCCATTACTAGGTATATACCCAATGGAATATAAATCATTCTGTTATAAAGACATGCACACATATGTTCATTACAGCACTATTCACAAAAGCAGAGACATGGAATCAACCTAAATACCCATCAATGATAGACTGGATAAAGGAAATATGCTACCTATATACCATGGAATACTATCCAACCATAAAAAAGAATGAGATCATGTGCTTTACAGGGACATGGATGGAGCTGGAGGCCATTATCCTTAGCAAACTAATGCAGGAACAGAAAACCAAACATTGCATGTTCTGACTTACAAGTGGGAGCTGAATGATGAGAATGCATGGACACACAGAGGGGAACAACATATTATTTTTATCTTTACTTGAAAAGTATGTCTTGGTTTCCTCGATATAAAATTCAAGACCTTGGGGATGCAGACAAAATAGGTTGTTTCATTTGGGGTTTGTGATAGGCTGAATAATAGCCCTCTCAGGATGGCTACATCCTAATAACCAGAACCTGTGAATATTTTACCATAACCACACATCACAAAAGGACCTATGAAGCTACAATTAAATTAAGGTTCCTGAGAGTGACAGATTATTATGGGTTATCTGGATAGACCCAATGTAATCACAAGAGTCCTTATAAGAAGGAAAAAAGGGTCAGAGTCAGACAAGGTAATGAGAAGAGGGCAAGGGCCCCAATAGTCTCAACCCCTTACAGCATACATTCAAATACAAAATACCATCTAAATCTTATCAGCTCAAAAGTCCCAAACCTTATCATCTAAAGAATCTATGGGTGAGGTTCTGGATATAATCCATCCTGGAGCTCCATCCTGGAGCTCTCCATCTGTGGATCTGTGAAGCTAGAAAATAAGTTATCAGCTCAAAAAGTACAATGGTGGCACAGGCATAGATAACCAATATAGACATTCTCATTCAAATGGGAGAAAACAGAAGGGAGAAAAGGGGTCACTATTCCCACGACATTTTGCAATCCAACTGAGAAAATTCTATCATGTTTCAAAACCCAGGAATAATCCTCTGTGGCTAGAGGCTCCATCCTCTGGGCCCATGGCTCTGCCATGACCTCAGAGTTATCCTTTTATCATGAAGAGCAATGTGTCTAAACCTGAGTTATTTTATTAGCCTGTTTTCTAACTAGAGAATTTTGGAAGTGAAACAACCTTTATCATTTTGTTCTTTCTCTGTCTCTTTCAGTCCAAGCTGGCAGTGTTTCTGCTGATACAACATTCTCAAAAACTTTGTGGGTCTCCCACATACATTACAGGGAGTAAATCCATCAAACAACAGGCTCTTCCACAAATATATGCAGGATAATCCCATCTTTATTCCTGGCTCCTGTTGAGATCTGTAAGGGGATCCATGAGTCATATACTTAATCTTTTGAAACACTTTTTTCTGTGATTAAAATAGTGACCTTTATCTAAAATTTTTCCAAGGCATGAGCAAAAGGCTGCTCAGCCAACCTTTGGCATTCTCTCCAGAGCATACTTTCTTGTAATCAAATCTTCTAACTTTAGCAGTTTTTGAAAGCTGAATAGACTGAGAATTTCCTAAATTATCAAGTCCTAGTTCCTTTTTGTTTAACAGTTCTTCCCTTAATCTATTTCTTTCCTCTCACATTTTACTATAAGAAACAAGAAACCAAGCCATATTTTCAAGAGTTTGCTTGGATTTCCAAGCAAATCTCCTTGGCTAAATCTTCATGTTCACGGCTTAGAAATGCTATTTCCCACATGACTGTAGAACAAAATTCTGCTGAGTCTTCTGCCACCAAATAACAAAAAACCCTTAATTCCATCTGGGCCATCATTAGGAGTTCCTTTACTATTCCTATTTCTATATTTATAATAATTTTAATATTCTCTAAGACAATTTAATTTTTCTCTATTATATTCCTCACTTCCTTCTGAGCCCTTACTGTCAGAGTCCTTAATATCTATATTTCCACTAGCAGTCTGTTCACAGAAATCTAGGCTTTTCTATCATGCTCCTCAACATTCTTCCAGCCTCTTCCCACTGGAAGCCACAATCACATTTTTAGGTATTTGTTAGAGCATAACCTCACTTCCAAATCTATGTTAGCATCCTACTTCTGGTGCAATAAATTCCCACTAACTTAGTGGCTTGAAACAATGCAAATTTATCTTACTCTTCTGGAGGTTAGAAGTCTCAAATAGATTTCGAAATGTACCGACATTTATGAGTACTATATCACTAAAATTAAAGTGTCATAATGTTCATTCCTTATGGATACTTTAGGGAAGGATCTATTCCTTGCCTTTTCCAGCTTCAAAAGGCTGCCCGTGCTCCATGGCTCATGGCTACATCACTTGGATCTCTGCTTCTGTCATCACATCTCTTTCTCACCCTCTGCTTCTGTCATGGCATTGCTTTTTATGACACTACCCCTCATTCTTTCTTCTCATAAGAACCCTTGTGATTTATCTGGACCCATAGAAGTAATCCAGGATAATCTCATCTCAAGAACACTACTTTAATCACCTGTGAAGAACTTTTTGCTACGTAGGCATACCTCATTTTATTGTGCTTTGCTTTATTGCTCTTTGCAGATACTGCCCTTTTACAGATTGAAGTTTTGTCACAACCCTGCATGCAGCAAGCCTACTAGCACCATTTTACCAACAGCATGTGCTCACCTCATGTCATGGTGTCATATTTTGATAATTCTCACAATATTTCAAGTTTTTTATTATTATTATATTTTGTGTGGTGATCTGTGATCAGTGACCTTTGATGTTACTACTGTTATCACTTGAGGCACCATGATCTACTATCATATAGGATGGTGAACTTAATCAATAAATGTTGTGTGTGCTCTGACTGCTCCACCAACCAGCCTTTGCCCTGTCTTGTTCTTTCTCCTTGGGCCTCCTCATTCCTGAGACACAATAATATTGAAATTAGACTGATAAATAACCCTATAATTACTTCTAGTGTTCCAGGGAAAAGAAGAGTCATACATCTCATTTTAAATCAAAAGCTACAGGCCCAGTGCAGTGGTTCACACCTGTAATCCCAGCACTTTGGGACGCTGAGGCAGACAGATCACCTGAGCTCAGGAGTTCGAGACCAGCCTGGCCAATGTGGTGAAATCCCATCTCTATTAAAAATACAAAAAAAAAAAAAAAAATTGCTGGGCATGGTGGCAGGCTCCTGTAATCCCAGCTACTCAGGAGGCTAAGGCAGGAGAATAGCTTGAACCTGGGAGGCGGGGGTTGCAATGAGCAGAGATTGCACCACTGAACTCCAGACTAGGCAACAGAGCACGAGTCCATCTTAAAAAAAACAAAAAAACAAAAACAAAAAAAACTACAAATGATTAAGCTTGGTGAGGTAGGTATGTCAAAAGCTGAGACAGGCCAAAACCTAGGCCTCATGTACCAAACAGTTAGTAAATGTATTATGTAAGAAATACATTTCAAGTTGTGAATGCAAAGGAAAAGTTCTTGAAGGAAATTAAAAGTGCTACTCCAGTGGACACACAAATGATAAGAAAGGGAAACAACCTGATTGCTGATATGGCAGAAGTCTGAGTGCTCTGGAAAGATCAAACCAGTCACAACATTTACTTAAGCCAAATGCTAATCCAGAACAAGGCCCTAACTCTCTTCAATTCTATGAAGGCTGAAAGAGGCAAAGAAACTACAGAAGAAAATTTTGAAGCTAGCAGGGGTTCATGAGGTTTAAGGAAAGAAGTCATTTCCATGACATAAAAACACAAGGAGAAGCAGCAAGTGCTGATGGAGAAGCTGTAGCAAGTTATCTAGAAGAGCCAGCTAAATTGATAAAGGTGACTACATTAAACAGATTCTCAGTGCAGATGAAACAGCCTTCTATTGGAAGAAGATTCCATCTAGGACTCTAATAACCAGAGAGGATAAGTCAATGTCTGACTTCAAAGCTTCAAAGAACAGGCTCACCGTTTTGTTAGGTTGTAATGCAGCTGGTAACTTTAAGTTGAAGCCAATGCTCATTTGCCATTCTGAAAACACCAGGGCTTTTAAGAATGATGTTAAATGTACTCTGCCTGTGCTCTATAATAAAATAATAAAGCCCGGATGACAGTACATTTGTTTACAGCACAGTTTACTGACCATTTTAAGCCCACTGTTGAGACCTACTGCTTAGAATAAAGATTCCTTTCAAATTATTATTGCTCATTGACAATGCACCTAGTTACCCACGAGCTCTGACTGGAGGTGTACAAGGAGACTAACATTGTTTTAATGGGTGGTAATGAGGGAAGAGAGAGTCCTTCTCACATTGTTTTATATTGTGTTACACTCAGTACCTGTTCTACAAAAAAAACAAGGAAGTGAAACCAAAGGCAGGCAGCCAGGCGCCAGGCACCAGACCCAAAACCAGACCTGAAACCAGGCCTAGGCCTGCCTGGCCTAAACCTAGTAGTTAAAAATCAACTCATGACTTAGAAACCAATGTTATCCATAGATTCCAGAGATTGTACAGAAAAACACTGTGAAACTCCCTGCTCTGTTCTGTTTCACTCTGACTACCAGTGCATGAAACCCTTGTCACATGTCCCCTAGATTGCTCAATCAATCACGACCCTTTCATGTGAAATCTTTAGTGCTGTGAGCCCTTAAAAAGGACAGAGATTGTGCACTCGGGGAGCTCGGATTTTAAGACTGTAGCTTGCTGATGCTCCCAGCTGAATAAAGCCCTTCCTTCTACAACTCTGAGGGGTTTTGTCTGCGGCTCATCCTGCTACATTTCTTGGTTCCCTGACCGGGAAGCAAGGTGACTGATGGATGGCCGAGGCAGCCGCTTAGGCGGCTTAGGCCTGCCCTGTGGAGCATCCCTGCGGGGGACTCTGGCCAGCCTGAGTGACGCCATCCAAAGAGCACTCCTGGGTAGGCAATTGTCCCGGTGGAACGCCTCGCCAGAGCAGCAGGTAGCAGGCCCCCGCGGAGGATTAATACAGTGGCTGAACACCGGGGAAGGAACCGGCACTTAGAGTCTGGACGTCTGAAACTTGGTAAGACTAGTCTTTGAAACCTGCCCACTCCATTTGAGTGGAAGCGTGGCCTGATCACCCACAGTGTGCCTGTATCGGCACTTTTGTTCTGGTTTTGACTTGACTTGAATTGCTGAATACTTTGGTTTTGGTTTTATCTTGGCTTGAATTTCTTGGTATTCTGATTTTGGTTTGGTATAAGTGATAAAAGCGCGTGTGTGCCCTCTTTACTCGTTCTTTGTTTTGTGCTGAGTGTGTGATGTAAGCATGGTATTTTGTCTTGAGAAAACATGGGTCAGGTGCAAAGTAAGCCCACCCCATTAGGAACTATGTTAAAGAATTTCAAGAAAGGATTCAATAGAGACTATGGAGTCACTATGACTCGAGGAAAACTTAGAACTTTGTATGAAACAGACTGGCCAGCATTAGATGTAGGTTGGTCATCAGAAGGAAGCCTAGATAGGTCTCTAGTTTCAAAGGTATGGCACAAAGTAACTGGCAGGCCAGGACACCCAGATCAATTCCCATATATAGATTCCTGTTTACAACTAGTTTTAGATACCCTGCAGTGGTTAAGGGGACAGGCAGCAGCAGTACTAGTAGCAAAGGGACAATTAGTTAAGGAAGGTTCTTGCTCCACTGGCCGAGGGAAGCCGGCACCTAAAGTTCTGTCTGACCCAGAGCCCGAGGACTCATGGCAGGAGATAGCACCAACAGTGCCCCCCCGCACCCTTATCAAGCAGAGAGGCCCCCTTCTCCTGAGCCCACAGCCCCTAGGCCACCCAGAGTAGACAAGAAAGGAAGTGAAGCTGCAGGAAAAACTCCTCCCTTGGCAGCTCGCTTGCAGCCCAAGACTGGAATCCAAATGCCCCTGAGACAGCAGCGATATGCTTGGATAGATGAGGACGGACACAAGGTGGAAAGGTGTGCCTTTGTGTATCATCCTTTCACCTCTGCTGACCTCCTCAATTGGAAAAATAACACTCCATCTTACACTGAAAAGCCTCGAGTTCTAATTGACTTGCTCCAAACAATTATGCAGACTCATAATCCTACTTAAGCTGATTGCCACCAGTTACTCATGTATCACTTTAACACAGATGAAAGGTGAAGGGTGCTCCAGGTGGCAACTAAATGGCTAGAGGAGCACGTCCCAGCTGATTACCAAAATCCCCAGGAATACATAAGAATTCAGCTGTCAGGAATGGACCCTCAATAGGATCCAAATGAATGACCAGATACGGAGAGGCTAAGACGGTACCGAGAGGCATTAATTGAAGGTCTGAAAAACAGAGGCTCAAAAGGCCACTCATGTAAATAAAGTGTCTGAAGTCATCCAAGGAAAGGAGGAAAGCCCAGCCTAGCTCTATGAAAGACTGTGTGAGGTCTATCGTATGTACATTCCTTTCGATCCAGATAGTCCTGAAAATCAGTGTATGATTAACATGGCCTTAGTTAGTCAGAGCGCGGAAGGTATCCGGAGAAAACTGCAAAAACAGGCTGGGTTTGCAGGAATGAATACCTCGCAGTTACTGGACATAGCTAATCAAGTATTTGTAAATAAAGATGCAACAAGCCACTGAGAAAGCCATAAGGAAGGTGAACACCAGGCCAGGTGAAACACTGATTTGTTGGCTGCGGCAATTAGAGGAATCCCCCCGAAAGGGCAGGGAAAGGGGGGTTCTGGGAGGAATGTCCTATCCAAACACTCATGTCTGCAGCGTAACTAATGTGTCTACTGTAAATAAATAGGACATTAGTAAAATAAATGTCCCCAACTAAAGGAAAAGCAAGGTGATGCAGAACAAAAGGCCTCAGACAAAGATGAAACAACTTTGTTCAATCTGGCTGAAAGGCTACTAGACTGTAGGGGACTGGGCTCAAACGCCCCCAAGAAGCCCATGGTCAGGATGACAATAGGGGGCAAGGAAATTAAGTTTCTGGTCGGTACCGGAGCCTAACACTCAGTAGTAACCACCCTGGTGGCCCCCTTATCTAAAAAGACCATTGATATAATTGGAGTAACAGGAGTCTCCGCCAAGCAGGCTTTCTGCCTACCGCGGACCTGCTCAGTAGGAGGACATAAAGTGACTCATCAATTTCTGTATATTCCTGACTGCCCCTTGCCTTTGTTAGGAAGAGACTTGCTCAGCAAGCTGAGAGCCACCATTTCCTTTACAAAACAGGGCTCTTTATAGCTGAAGTTACTGGAAATAGGAGCCATCATAGTCCTTACAGTCCCCCAGGAAGAAGGGTAGAGACTTTTTCTAACTGAACGAGGTCAAGAAATAAAACCAATTCTAGCTAGGCGATGGCCCTGAGTATGGGCAAAGGACAATCCTCTGGGGCTGGCAATCAATCAAGCCCCTGTACTCATAGAAGTTAAGCCTGAGGCCCAGTCAATCCGACAAAAGCAGTATCCAGTTCCCAAGGAAGCCCTTAAAGGAATACAGACTCATTTTAGACACTTAAAAGCCTTCAGAATTATAGTTCCTTGCCAGTCTCCATGGAACACGCCCCTCCTACCTGCCCCTAAACCAGGGACCAAAGACTATCAACCCATTCAGGACTTACGCTTGGTAAACCAAGCTACAATGACTCTGCACCCAACAGTTCCTAACCCTTATACACTGTTAAGATTGCTGCTGGCTGAGGATGGCTGGTTTACCTGCCTGGACTTGAAAGATGCCTTCTTTAGCATCAGACTAGCCCCTGAGAGCCAAAAGCTGTTTGCCTTTCAGTAGGAAGATCCAGGGTCAGGTGTCACCACTCAGTACTTAGACTCGGCTTCCCCAAAGGTTCAAAAATTCCCCCACCATCTTCGGGGAGGTGTTGGCTCAAGACCTCCAGAAGTTTCCTACTAAAGACCTAGGCTGTGTCTTGCTCCAGTACGTGGACGATCTTCTGCTAGGACACTCTACGGTAGTCGGGTGTGCAAAAAGGATGGATGCCCTGCTTTGGCACCTGGACTACTGTAAGTATAAGGTGTCCAAGAAGAAAGCTCAGATCAGCAGACAGCAGGTATGCTACCTAGGATTCACTATTTGAAAAGCGGAGTGCAGCCTAGGGTCAAAAAGAAAGCAGGTCATCTGCAGCCTACCGGAACCTAAAACCAGGAGGCAAGTAAGAGAATTTTTAGGAGCTGTGAGGTTTTGCAGATTATAGATTCCAAACTTTGTGGTGCTAGCCAAATCATTGTACGGGGTTACAAAGAGGGGCAACCAAGAGCCCTTTGAATGAGGACCTCCACAGCAGCAAGCCTTTTATAGGTTAAAAGAAAAACTTAAGTCAACCCCAGCTCTAGGATTACCAGATTTGACAAAGCCCTTCACGCTCTATGTGTCAGAAAAAGAAAAAATGGCAGTAGGAGGTTTAACTCAAACTGTAGGACCCTGGCCAAGACCAGTGGCCTACCTCTCAAAACAACTAGATGAAGTTTCTAAAGGCTGGCCTCCATGTCTAAGAGCCTTGGTGGCAGTGGCCTTATTAGCACAAGAAGCGGATAAGCTAACCCTTGGACAAAACCTAAATACAAAAACCCCCAATGCGGTAGTAACTCTGATGAATACCAAAGGACACTGTTGGCTAACAAATGCTAGATTAACAAGTAGCAAGGCTTGTTATATGAAAACCCCCGCATAACCACTGAAGTCTGTAACACTTTAAATCCTGCCACCTTGCTCCCAGTATCCAACAGCCCTGTTGAACATAACTGTGTAGAGGTGTTAGACTTAGTCTATTATAGCAGACCCAATCTTCAAGACCAGTCATGGGCATCGGTAGACTGAGAATTATAGGCAGACGGGAGCAGCTTCATCAACTCACAAGGAGAAAGGTGCGCAGGATATGCGGTAGTAACCTTAGATGACCTTATTGAAGCTAAGCCATTGCCCCAGGGCACTTCAGCCCAAAAAGCAGAACCCATTGCTTTAACTCAGGCTCTGGAACTTAGTGAAAATAAGACTGTAAGCATCTGTACTGATTCTCAATATGCCTTTCTAACCCTTCAAGTACATGAAGTATTATATAAAGAAAAAGGCCTGTTAAATTCTGGAGGAAAGGACATAAAATATCAACAAGAAATTCTACAATTATTAGAAGCAGTGTGGAAACCCCAAAAGGTGGCAGTCATGCATTGCTGAGGACACCAGCAAGTTTCCACATCGGTGAGCCAAGGAAACTCCCGAGCAGACACAGAGGCACATAAAGCAGCATCTACTCCTTATCAGGCACAGCCCCACTACTCCCTCAAACACTTGATCTGGTGCCTACTTATTCTAAAGAGGAAAAACATTTTCTTCAGGCAGAAGGAGGACAAACAATAAAGGAAGGATAGATAAAGTTACCAGATGGAAGAATAACTGTGCCACAGCTGCTAGGAGCTGCAGTCGTGCTGGCTGTACATGAAACTACCCATTTAGGCCAAGAATCACGTGAAAAGCTGTTAGGCCAGTATTTCTACAACTCACACTTGCCAGCTCTTTCTAAAACAGTAGTGCAGCTATGCGTTACCTGTCGACAGCACGATGCAAAGCAAGGCCCCTCTGTGCCTTCTGGTATACAAGCCTATGGAGCGGCTCCTTTTAAAGATCTTCAGGTAGATTCACAGAGATGCCTAAATGCAGAAGTAACAAGTATTTACTGGTTCTAGTGTGTACTTACTCTAGGTAGGTGGAGGCTTATCCAACACAAACTGAAAAAGCTCGTGAAGTAACCCGTGTGCTTCTTCGAGATCTCATTCCTAGGTTTGGACCGCCTCTACGAATCGGCTCAATTAATAGGCTGGCATTTGTAGCTGACTTGGTACAGAAGATGGCAAAGGTATTAGGAATCACATGGAAGTTACATGCCGCTTACCGACCTCAGAGTTCCGGAAAGGTGGAGCAAATGAATCCAACTATCAAAAATAGTTTAAGGAAAGTATGTCAGGAGACAGGATTAAAATAGATACAAGTCTTTCCTATGGTATTATGTAAAATTAGGTGTACCCCCTCTAAGAAAACAAGATACTCCCCCTATGAAATTCTGTATCATAGGCCTCCTCCTATACTGTGAGGAGTTCCGGGTACTCCCCAAGAGTTAGGTGAGATTGAATTACAACAGCAGCTACAGGCCTTAAGGAAAATTACCCAGACAATCTCAACTTAAGTAAATGAGAGGTGCCCAGTCAGCTTATTCTCCCCAGTTCATTCTTTTTCTCCAGGTCACTGTGTGTGGATCAAGGACTAGAACATGGCTCCTTTGCGGCCACAGTGAAGAGGACCCCAGACCGTCATCCTGACCACTCCCACAGCTGTGAAGGTGGAAAGAAGCCCAGCCTGGATTCACCACAGCCGCGTGAAGCCTGCAGCAGCTGAGACCTAAGAGGCCAAACTAAGCCTAGACAAGCCTGCAAAGTGACCCTGAGGAAAATGACAAGCCCTGCTCCAGTCACACCTGGAAGGTGACTGGTCTACACACGGCCGAAGCATGAGGAGAATCGTCATAGGACTTATTTTCCTTATAACATGGACTTGTGTGGTAAAAGCATCTACTGCTTCTTCCCACACAGAGGACTGCCTTCAGTGCATACATCAGGTCACTGAGGTAGGAAAACAAGCTAAGACAATCTTTTTGTTTTATAGTTATTACGAATGCCTAGGAATTCTAAAAGGAACCTGTTCGTATAATAACACTCAGTACAAAGTGTGTAATCCAGAAGTGACCAGCCCGATATGTGCCATGACCCCTCTGAACCCCCCCATGATCACAGTCTTTGAAGTAAGACTACGGACTGGTCCTTTTCTAGGTGACACTAATAAGGTATTAGCTAGAACAGAAGAAAGAGAGGTCCGCAAAAATGTAACCTTAAAATTTGACGCTTGTGCTGCTATTAATAGTAAGCAGCAAGGAATAAGATGCAGTTCTCTAGATTAGAAAAAAAAAGTTACATAGCAGAAAATAAGTATATCTGTCAAGAATCATATTAATGTAAGATGTGTCAATACTGGTCTTGTGTCATTTAGGCTACTGTACTGAGAAAGAAGATAAAAAAGATCCTGTTTGGCTCTGAAAAAGAAAAGTCAGCCCCTACTGCATGAGTAGGATCTGCAACCCTTTAGAGTTAGTAATCACAACCCCTCAGACCCAAAAGAGAATAAAAGAAAACACGTATCATTAGGCATTGATAGGAAAAGACTCAATCCTAGCGTAAGCATCCTAATAAAAGGAGAAGTTCTTTTTATTTAAGGAAAGTATGTCAGTACTTTAAGGAAAGTATGTCAGGAGTCAGGATTAAAATAGATACAAGTCCTTCCTATGGTATTGTTTAAAATTAGGTGTACCCCCTCTAAGAAAACAAGATACTGGTTCTGGAGAACCCGTATTTCAGACTTTCTATGACAAACTAAATGTGCCAGTACCTGAGAGTCCAGGAAAAACTAAAAATTTGTTTTTGCAATTAGCTGAACTAATGTAGCCCAGTCTCTAAAAGTCACTTCATGTTATGTTTGTGGAGGAACCATACAGGAGATCAATGGCGATAGGAAGCCCGAGAGTTAGTTCCTACAGACCCAGTTCCTAATAAATTCCTGGCCCAAAAGAACTACCCTGACAATTTTTAGGTTCTAAAGGTCTCAATTATTAGACAGTATTGCATAGCTAGAGAAGGAAAAAGATTCACTCATCCTGCAGGGCTGTAGGACGGCTTAGTTGTCTTAGGCAAAAGCTGTATAATAGTACCACAAAAACAGTTAATAGTGGAGTTTCAATTACACAGAAAGAAATCCATTCAGTAAATGTCCAAAGTTGCAGACTGTTTAGGCCCGCTCAGAATTCCACCAGGACTAGACTGTCCCTACCGGATTATACTGAATATGTGGACATAGAGCTTAAACTAAGCTGCTGGATCAGTAGACAGGTAGCTGTGAAATTGGCACCATTAAACCATCTTTCTTCTTACTTCCCATAAAAACAGGCAAACTCCTAGGCTTCCCAGTCTATGCTTCCCACAAAAAACAAAGCATAGCCATAGGTGATTGGAAAGATGATGAATGGCCCCCTGAAAGAATCATACAATACTATGGACCCGCCACTTAGGCACAAGATAGCTCGTGAGGATATGGGACCCCCATCTACGTGCTCAACTGAATCATACGGTTACAAGCTGTTTCAGAAATTATGACTAATAAAACCGGTCAAGCCTTGACTGTTCTTGCCCAGCAAGAGACTCAGATGAGAAATGCTATCTATCAAAATATACTAGCTCTTGACTACTTGCTAGCAGCTGAAGGAGGAGTTTGTAGAAAATGTAACCTTACTAATTGTTGTCTACACATAGATGATCAGAGGCAAGTAGTTGAAGATATAAAGATATAACAAAATTGGCACATGTACCCATGCAAGTGTGGCACGGATTTAATCCAGGAGCCATGTTAAGAAATTGGTTCCCATCAACAGGAGGATTTAAAACCGTTATAATAGAAGTAAAAATAGTAATAAGAACCTGCTTACTGCCCCCTTGTTTTCTACCTGTACTTCTCCAAATGATAAAAAGCTTCATCGCTACCTTAGTTCACCAGAATGCTTCAGCACAAGCATACTGTATGAATCACTATCAATCTATTGCACAGGAAGACATAAACAGTGAAAATGAAAGTGAGAATTCCCACTACTAAAATGAGTGAAAGTCTCAAAGGGGGGAAATGAGGGAAGAGAGAGACCTTCTCACATTGTTTTATATTGTGTTATACTCAGTACCTGTTCTACAAAAAAAACAAGGAAGTGAAACCAAAGGCAGGCAGCCTGACACCAGGCACCAGACCCGAAACCAGGACTGGGCCTGCCTGGCCTAAACCTAGTAGTTAAAAATCAACTTATAACTTAGAAACCAATGTTATCCATGGATTACAGACATTGTATAGAAAAACACTGTGAAACTTCCTGCTCTGTTCTGTATCACTCTGACTACCAGTGCATGAAACCCCTGTCACGTATCCCCTAGATTGCTCAATCAATCACGACCCTTTCATGTGAAATCTTTAGTGCTGTGAGCCCTTAAAAAGGACAGAGATTGTGCACTTGGGGAGCTCGGATTTTAATACCGTAGCTTGCCGATGCTCACAGCTGAATAAAGCCCTTCCTTCTACAACTCTGAGGGGTTTTGTCTGCGGCTCGTCCGGCTACATTTCTTGAATCAGAAATATCATTTGATCCAGCAATCCTATTACTGGGTATATATCTAAAGAATTGCTCCATTATAAAGATACATGCACACGTATTATCACTGCAGCACTATGTACAATAGCAAAGACATGGAACCAACCCAAATGCCCATCAATGATAGACTGGATAAATAAAATGTGGTACATATACACGATGGAATACTCTGCAGCCATAAAAAGAAATGAGACCGTGTCCTTTGCAGGGACTTGGATTAAGCTGGAAGTCATCCTAACTAACTGACAGGAACAGAAAACTAACACGGGAAGAGAAAACCAGACACTGCATGTTTTCACTAATAAGTGGGAGCTGAACAATGAGAACACATTTAGTGGACTACAGCATAGTGTAAATACAAGTTTTATATGTACTTGGCAATCAAAAAATTCATGTGAATTGCTCTATTGCAATATTCACTTTATTACAGTGGTCTAAAACTGAAACTACAGTACCTCCAAGATATGCCTGTATAAAGCAACATATTCACAGTTCTGTGTATTAGAATGTGAATGTCTCTGCCATGAAAATATGCATGAATTTCTCAAGTTTTATAAGAAGTTTTTATTCGTCTTTCTACTTGAAAGATGCTTTTTCCAAGTATAAAATTCTAGATCAACAGCCATTTTTTGGCACCTTAAAGACAGTCCATTGTCTTTCTAGGTCCACCATCACCCTCATCTTTTTTTCTCTGTAAGTAATGAAGTTTTGAAGTAATGAAGTAGTTTGTAAATAATGAAGTCTTGAAGTTCATCATTTTTTTCTTCTGGTAGTTTAAAATTGTATAGTTGAGGTTATTAGAGAGAACTTTTCATTTCAGTAGTTGTACTTTTGAACTCCAGAATTTCTATTTGATTTTTTAAATCATTTCTATTGATATTCTCTATTTGATGCAAAATTGTTGTCCTATCTTCCTGTATTTAATCATAGCTTCTTTTAGTTCTTTGAACATACCTCTAATGGCTACTTTCTAGTCATTGTCTGCTAGTCTGACTTCTGACCACTGTCTGCCTACTGTACTTAAAGAGTATGGGTCATATTTTCTTGTTTCTTTTCATGTCTTGTAAATTTTTGTTGGTAACTGGACATTTTAGGTAATATCTCATGGCAACTCTGGGTAAACCCACCCCAGCTCTAAGCTTGTTGTTATTATTTGTTTTTTGTTTAATGACTAGCTGGATTATTTTAGCAATGTTCACTGTCCTCCTCATCTTTGCTTCTCTGTAAGTAATGAGTATTTTTCCCTTTTTGCATGTAAGTTTGTCACTGTATCACCAGATTTCAGTAAACCGAATATGACCTGAACATGGCTATTTTCCACCTGCAGTGTTATATCTTTGGTGTTGCTCTTCAAGGAGTTGCAGCTTTGTGTATGTATGCTCACATACAGTCACTAGTATGACAGTGGTTTTGACAGGACTCTTTTTGTCATTTTCTCTGACCATGTCCAGTTGTTAAGCTATACTAAGTGCCAGCTGATTTATGTACTGCTTTCAATAATACTGTGCTGCTTAAATTGTTCTATAGACTAATCCATCAAATTCAGGTTCCTTTGAAGGAGTAGTTCCTACATTGAGATTTGTTCTGTTGAGGAGCTCTGACCACAGGTGAGCTCCTACAAGCTATCTCTTTCCAAGGGTCTCTGCTTTTCCCTCTAGGCAAAATCTCAAGTCAAGTCCAGTCCAGTCAAGGCTCTGGAACTAGGGTGGCAGACAATGGCACACTCTCTCTAAACGACACCCTCACTTTAGGAGCTGAGTGCTCAGTGGGGGCCAGAGAAGGTAGAAGATGAACAGTAGCCTCCAACTTTTTTGGCTAGTTTCATCCAGAGTACAACCATCACCTTACAGACTAAGGCAAGGACAATCAGAACCCCTATACCTCAGCAGTGCCAAACCCAAGGTAGAGCCTGCATCTTGTGAGTGGGGAGCTGTGCAGAAGAGAACTCTACTTCAGAACTTAGCCTCATCAACAGGTAGCTGTGGCAAGATGAGAAAAGCTGATATCCTACCGTAGGATAACCCTCTGTCTGGGAGCTGAGAATACAGAGAGCCTTGTGTTTTGGGCTGCACCAGTTTGGAATAAAGTTTCCATCTCACTAAGTTGGGAAAGGGGATAGGAGGGAATGAGTCTCAGTTCCCCCATAGAGTCTTGCTGTTCTTACCACCACAATACAGACTTTCTTGAATAAATGTTTCTTCATCTACTTATTATTTAAATGTCCCTAAGACTATTTCCTGAGACATTAAATGGTATGTTGTTGGGTATTTTTGTTTTTGTTTTGTTTCTTTTGTTTGTTTGTTTTTGAGATGGAGTTTCACTCTTTTTGCCCAGGCTGGAGGGCAATGGCGTGATCTCAGCTCACTGCAACCTCCGCTTCCCAGGCTCAAGTGAGTCTCCTGCCTCAGCCTCCCTCCAGAATAGCTAGGATTACAGGTGCACACCACCACACACCTGGCTAATTTTGTTTTATGTTTGTTTGTTTTTGAGAAAATGTCTCACTCTGTCACCCAGACTGGAGTGCAGTGGCACGTTCTCGGCTCACCGCAACCTCCACCTCCCAGGCTCAAGTGATTCTCCTGCCTCAGCCTTCCAAGTAGCTGGGATTAGAAGCGTGTGCCACCATGCCCAGCTAATTTTTGTATTTTTAGTAGAGACGGGGTTTCACCATGTTGGTCATGCTGGTCTCAAACTCCTGACCTCAAATGATCTACCCGCCTCTGCCTCCCAAAGTTCTGGGATTATAGGCGTGGACCACCGTGCCCAGCGTGTGTGTGTATGTGTGTGTGTGTGTGTTTTAATTATCTTCACCAGTTTTTCTGGAAAAAGAGTATGCTGAGCTTCTCATGCTGTTATGCCAGAAGTCCCTCCCAGTCAATTAACAAAAGTGGCAAGGTAATTCAATGAGGATACTAGAGTCTTTTTCAAAAAATGGTTCTAGACCGTGGATATGGGAAAAAATGAAACTCAACCTTTCCTTATACCATACGCAAAATAATTTGTAATGAATCACAGCATAAAATATGAGTCAAACTATTAAACTTCTAGATTGGAAGAATTATTTGTAATTTGGGGATAGGCAAAGATATCTTAGCAAAGACACAAAAAACATGAATCATACACACATAAAAATTGTAAAACTGGGCTTCATCAAAAAATTTTAAAGTTTGTCCTTTAAAATATAGTGTTGGAAAAATTAAAAGGCAAGCAAAAGACTATAAGAATAACTTTACAAATCAGAAATCTGATGAAGAACTTGTTTTTGAGATATATAAAGAATTTGTTCAACTGAATAATAAGAATATAGACAATCCAATTTAAAAATGGGCAAAAGTTTGAACAGATACTTCATCAAAGAAGATGTGAAAAATCACAAGTAAACAAATAAATGATGTTCTATAATATTGGTAGCCTTTAAGGAAATGCAAATTAAAAGCATAGGATTGTACTATTTACCTGTGAAAATGGCTAAAACTTAAAAGACTGATGATATATATAGCAAGGGTACAGAGCAACTGTAATACTTATACATTACTGATCGGAACGTAATATGGTACAGCCACTTTGGAAAGCAGTTTGGCAATTTCTCCAAAAGTTAAACACAGATATAACATACAATGCAGTAATCTCACTCTTATATGTTTACCCAGGAGAAATAAAAACACAAAGACTTACATGCAAAGATTCATAGCTTTATTAATTATAACCAAAATCTGGAAACAACCCAAAAGTCTATCAACAGGCAAATGGATAAACATGTTGTAGTATAGCCTTACAATAAAATACTACTCAGCAATAAAATGAATGAAAACATCAGTGAAAGAAGTCAGGCACAAAAGACTGTATGATTCTATTTGTATGAAATTCTAGAAAAAAAAATTATAGTGCTAGAAAACGAATGTGTAGTTGCCTCGGGGTGGGACAGTTGTATGGAAATTGACCAAAGGGGCATGAGAGATCTTTGGAAGAATGATGAAAATATTTTATATCTTTATTATGGTTTTAGTTACATTACATTTTTCAAACTCATCCAAATGAATCCTGAATGAATTTTATTGTATGTAAATTGTATCTCTAATTTTTTTTTTAAAAAAGTCAATAAAAGGAATATATTAAATAGTTTAATAATAGAGAAAGATCAGAAGGATAGAGACAGAGACACTGTCTTCATATATATTAACGTACTAGATATCAGAGATTCTGAAATTATGTTAGCTATCAAGTGAAAATATTCTTTTGTCAATGATTTTCATTCAGTTATAAGACCAACATTTATCTTAAGCCAGATTTGTGAAAATTAGATTTAAAATTAATTATCGTACTATATCACAAGAGTGTTATTGATCCTTGCTCATTAAAAAAAAAAAAAAAAAAAAAAAAGAGCATGTTGAGATGCCATGGCTAACAAAGGATTTTTTTCAGCAAATGTTTGCTTCCCCTTCCTCTTTGGGTCAGGGTATACTTTTCACTCCCACTGCCTTTATGCTTGGCCATGCGACTTGCCTTGGTCAATGGAATATGAGCATGCAGGATGTCTGCAGAATTTTAATTGTGTTTGCCTGGCTTAGCTTGCACTTGAACTCCTATAATCAACATACAATTACAACACAGGCAATCAGTGCCTCGTTAGGCTGGATCAAAGCATGAAGCATAAGGGGCAAACTTGAACTTACCTCAAAACCTGAAACTGAACTACAGCATAAAGCAGAGACACTTACGAGTGAGAAAATTAAAAGCTTGCCATGATGCGACAATAAATTTGGTGGAGGTTTGTTATAGCATCACTATGGCAAGAGTTAACTCATACAAAGTTAACATTTGAGGAGAAATTACAACATTCTAGGCACTGAGCTACAAACTTTACATGTATTACCCATTTAATTATCACAATGACTCTGTAAGAGAAAACATTTTACATTGTCTTTTTAAAAT